GCTGCCTGCTCCATCATATTGTACTGTGCAGATTATAAAATACCCCGGATCCCATGCATCTCACAATCACTGTCAGCAGGTGGCAGTTGGAATGTGGCTATCACCTGACTTCTGGTAACATCAATATAGCCCAGCACCAAAACTTGCAGAATGCTTATCAGCAGCTTAGAGGAAAATTCTGGAGCCAACAGTGGAACACACTTTTCAAGAATGCTATATCACCAACACTCAGCACAACACACAGGGCAGCACTGCTTGGGGAAACAAGTAATGAAAACAATGGGTCAAATAGTAGTTCAAAAAAATAAAGTAGTTCAGAATGTTGGACTCAGAAGGTGATATTTTATGAATCTCGCCTTTTTCTTTTTGTATATGAATTAAGTGTGATAAGATAGAAATCTGAAGAAGTTTAAAAGCTAATAAATTTATAAGAAGTATAAATGGTGGGCTGGGGCTCAGCGATAGCACACTCTCCTGGCATGTGTGAGGCACTGGGTTCGATCCTTAGCACCACATTAAAATAAAGGCATTCTGTCCATCTACCACTACCAAAAAAAAAAAAAAATCTTTAAAAAAGAAGTACAGGGCTGGGGCTATAGCTCAGTGGCAGAGCACTTGCCTTACACGTGGGAGGCACTGGGTTCGATCCTTAGCACCACATACAAAAATACACAAATAAAGGCATGCTGTCCACCTACAACTACACACACACACACACACAAAAAAAAAAAAGTACAAATGATAAGCATTTTCATAGTTCTAATTGGAACATTTTTCTTAGTGGTTCGCAAAATATAGGTGTGTCTTCTAAGCCCTGGTGTCTGAGATTCTATGAAATACATAATACTCTCCTTCAAGGCCAGGACTCGGGGACCTGGAAAGCAGCAGCTGTTCCTCCTCCTCCTCCTTTTCTATTACTATATTTTTTTAAGGTGTAGATGAACTCAATACCTTTATTTTATTTATTTATTCATTCATTCTTTTATTCTTTTATGTGGTGCTGAGGATCAATCTCAGTGCTTCACATGTGTTAGGCAAGGGTTCCACCACTGAGCTACAACCCCAGCCCCGGGAAGCTTCTAACATTTCTCCAGGTATGACTGAGCTGGTCACTGGGCAATCAGGGAGCTACTGCCTTGTGTTGCTACTGCTCGAAAACCTTGAACTCTTCATCACAGAAGGACAATGGATGAAAATCAGTATTCGGCCAATTTTTCAAAAATTAATCTGAGCAACTTAAAGTAAAAAATTTAGAAGCCACAGAGTAAGCCATCTGCATCCTTTGCATTTCAATTTTTCTCCCCTAATAAAGTTGTCATAAGCATGTTCCTGTTTGTGTCCTTCTCCATTGGTCATTTTCAGTCTTGTGTGTAAGCAATGGCTGCACGCTTTCAGGGGCTCATCCTGACCATTCCCTACCAACCAACACTGTATTACAGCCATTGAGACTTGTTTGATTTGTTCTTACCATCACAGAGTATGAAAAGTAGTTTTCATAGCTTATCACATTGTTAGAATGATTCCAGACATACAGAATAGCAAAGAAACCAGTGACACGAAAGTCCACCTCTTCTACATTCCAGTTGACAATGGGATTAACAGTTTTTTTCCTAGTTAATCACATTTTTTTTTTTTTTTTTGGAACTAAAGCAAGTGTTTCTTAGCTCCATCCTCTACTACAGGAAGCAGCAGGGCTGAGCTTCATTAAGACATCACTCATCTGTTTCCTCAACCATGTCCAGAAAACCTACAGCCCAGGCTGACCAGCCAGCACAAGTGAACCCACTGCCCTCTGCCAGGCCTCCACCCGCAAACCATGGTCCAGGCAGCATCTCCATACTGTGTCATGGAGACAAGAAACTGACACCTGATCAGAAAACACCCCATAAATGGAAAAGTTCAAGTTCAGTGTGTAATATGTGTCCCTCGGGGGAGGCTTCCTAAAGAGCTGACAGGACACTCTAACAGAATTCCTGTAGATGCAAATGAACAAAAGGACCTCGAATCAAAACCCCCCGCAACACGAACCCCATTTGATCCCCAATGCAAGCACTATTAAGATTTGTTCAGGGGCTGGGGTTGTGGCTCAGTGGTAGAGCGTTTGCCTAGCATGTGTGAGGCACTGGGCTCAATTCTGAGCACCACATATAAATAAATAAAATGAAGGTCCATCGACAACTAAAAATTATATATATCTAAAACAAAGATTTGTTCAGTTTCAATTTTGCCTCTTCACATGTACACTTATAAAGGAAATCTGTTACATTCATATTTACTCCATTAGTGTTTTTTCCTTAAAATTCAAAAAAAGACTACTATATTCCCATAAGTTACATTTTTAATAATCATGGGACCATTTTTCATATAAGGTGCTTAAAGTCACAGGAAAGTGACTTTCAAAGACGATTGCTCTCCTCTACTCATTTTTAGAAAAGAATCACTTTTTTTTTTTTTTTGGCTTGGCTTGGCTTTAAAAATTTGTCTTAACCTTTGGGGAAAACAGAGAAAAACAACCATGAAGGAAAAACTTGAATGTGAAAGGGCTTATCTTGGTGTCTTCCAACAGTGAAATCAACTGACTGCTCAGCCCATCCCAACACTTGCCCATGTTCCCTCCAGCAGCCAGGCAGGTTCCTCAGTTTTATTCAGAGAGGAGAGGGTGAGGTAGATATAGGGTGCTCCCTAAAGCTGTGGCTCTCTCCCAGGACACCTTCTCCCATTTTCCCAAATGTGCTGGCCTCCATCCCAGCTCTCAGGAGATGCTAATGGCAGCTCTGAAACAGCTTCTGAGAGAGGCAGAGTGAACAGTCCAGCAAGAGCGGGACATGGAGGGAGGGAGGGCTGAGGGAACTGGATTCCTCCTGCTGCACAGCTGTGCTGGCCGCACAGCTCATCATTTCCAAGCCTTCAAAACCTACTCACCTCCTGAGGGAAAAGGCAGACCACAGAAGCTAAGGCCAGCAAAGACTCAAGTTTGGAAAGGCATAGTGGAAAAAGACACTGGCCTCTTTCCCATCTTGGCTTTGCTCTGAGCTAGCTGTGTGAGTTCCAGGAAGGCCAACTCTCTGGGCACACTGTCCCTTCTGCAAACTGAGGAAAAAATAACTATCCTGCTGGGCTCGGCCACTTCCACATGGCTCTCCCATGCCTCACAGGGACTCCGGACTATGAAATGAGTTAGTAGAGTTTCTGGCCACTCTGGGCTGAAAGGAAGAGGAACACTGGCTCCTACTCTCATCCAGGAAGATGTTTCAGGAGCGAGGGATGGGACTGGTGGTGAAGTAAAAACATCTGGAGGCAAGAGGCTGTGCTTTGCCATCCGGAAGATCAGCTGCTTCCAGGTGAGAAGATCACGTGGACCCAGCGTGGAGAGGGCTCATTCCTGACAGCCAGGCAATGGGCAGCCCTAGGAAGAAATCCATTCAGAGGAGATCTTTAGCTAAAAAGGCAAACAGTGAGTAGCAACATTCACACCAAGTTGCAAATGCTCTATGTGAAAAAGTACAAAGCAAAATATTGAACAAAATCATCTAAAAAAATGGATGAGGCTTACAGAGCCAAACAGTTTCCTTACAGGGCCATATGCAAAGGGCTACTACAGTCATGAGAAAAAAAAAAAAAAAGTGAGGGTCTACTCCCAAAGGGACTAGAATTAAGTCTAACATCATACTACTACTCTTTCACGGGTATAGCCAGTGGTCTTTTGGACTGGTGAATACATGGGGCCCATCCCCAGCCATCAACCAACTGATCAACAATTGAAAGAACAGTCTGGGTGATATGAACCCAGAGGTATGCAGCTGCTAAGGAACTGAGAAAACACTGGGAATCCAGGGATGACGACTCAGGTTTCCAAATCTCATCCTTGCTTAAACCAGAGTAGCTCTGCTTGATAGGTTTCAGATTTAGGATTCCTACATGAACAAAGACGTCTGCTATATGCCGAAACCACCGATCTAATCCAATCCTTCCAATGATACTTGGGCAAGAAGCTGGGAGCTACTGCACATCAATGGCAAACACCTACAATTCCGATGACTCTGAAGGCTAAGGCCTGAGGATTACAAGTTTAAGGCCAGTTGGGGCAACTTAGCAAGACCCTATCTCAAAAAGTAAAAAGGACTAGGGAGCTCAGTGGTAGAAGCACCCCTGGTTGAATCCCCGTTACAGCAAGAACAAAAAAGCAATAAGAGACTTGGAGTTTTCTTTCCTTCTGCTCTACCAGCAGAGCTGGGCACAGCACACACCACTGCAAATGCCTTTAGGTGAGTCAGCTTATGACAAAATTTCCAGCAACAGTGAATGACAGACATTCCTTGACAGCAAAAATATTTGAATATGTATCCTACTTAACACTTCTTACTCACTTAGGACTTTGACTTTTCATTCACTTATAGTTTTAAAACTATGAAGTATGCCATTTGTATATGCTGCTGTAAGGTAGCAGTGTTCAAAACCTGACGTATTCACACATACCCCCAGTTTACACGTTTCTTGGCATGTTGCCTTGTACTTGGAACCACACATCTAGCACCTTCTCTCACTTGCTAGCACTAACCTGAGAATAACAGGAGACAAGTCCAGATCCAAGCAACTTGTAATCCCAAAACATTTGTCATAAGGCCGCACAGCTGGAGGACCAGCTCCTGGACCGATCCCAGTTAGTTACTCCATGACCTGGCAAGCCCCATCCCTCAAAGTCCTGAATCTTCCCCCAGATTTTCACATGGGGCCTGGGACATTCTTGGGCTGCCCCTGGAAATCAAATAGAGCTGGTAACCAGCACAAAGAATTGTCATGAGCACGCCTGTTCCCTGCACATCTCCCAAGGCCACCTGAATCTTCTTTGTCTACTCCACAGCTGCTGTTCATCTGCACATCACATATCAGAGCAAAAGAGACACTTGAACTTGGCCTTTGTACACTCCAGCTCTCTCTCATGGGATGGCAGGAACGCAATAAAGCAACCTCAATCCTTTTTTTTTTTTTTTTTTTTTTTTTGTGAAATTTATTTTTTCCACATTAAAAGATTTTTTTTTTTTTTTTTTGAGGGGAAGTATTTTCTTTTTTTTTTTTTTCTTTTTTTTTAGCCACATGATGATCCTATACAGCTGCCCCAGAGAAGGACACCATCATAAGTCATTAACATGCCATATGAGTTCTGAATAAATAAAAGCTACAAAGCCCAAGTTATATACAAATATCTTAGGCAATAATGTTTACAAACCTATGTACAATAAAACAAATGTAAACAGTAAATGCAGCATGAGAGTAACCAAAGGATGCACAGGGACAACCACTTTTGGTCAGTCTGCCACCAGGAACTGGCACCAGCCAGCCCCCGGAATCAGGCCACTCAATCCTTCCCAATGCAACTGGACGGACCCTCAGAGGATAAAACAAAAATGTTCTGAAGATGGCATTTAACTGAAGGACCAGAAAGCTGGTGAGGAAGTTGCCACCCACCTCTGAGGCACATGGACGACGCAGCAGCATGGAAGCTCAGCCCTGTGAGTGCCCAGGCCTGGAGGTTCCTGCCACCTGCCACTCAGAGGGCATCTTGCTGCTTTGGAGGCAAGCCTATGGAATGGTAACTGCTTACATAAAATCAGAAGGTATAGACAATGTTTCCCTAATTCAGTGACCTTCCTGACTCTGCCAGAAACAGTTCAAACTGTGGGGATAAAGTTGGGGGACACATGATCATGAGCACTGAAGATGCATGGGTGGGAGCTCAGGAGAGGGCACATGTAAACCTGATTTGGGGAAAAACTTCTAGAAGATCTGCAATGTCCTAAACACAACTAAATCCTATCAGTACAGCAGAGTGGGGGCTATGAGGCAGGTGTGATGAATGATACTTCTGCATCCAGTAACCAAGTAATACACGTATGTATCACCTTGTGACCCACAAAAGTGCAATCATGTGAAACCAACGGCACTACGGCGAGAAGGAAAAAATAGCCAGTATTGATATCGCGCAGAGTCCTGGGGCTGGGCAGGGCCCAGCAGCCGCCACTACATGCAGCCTGCCCTCTGCCAGCCATGGGGAGGCAGATGGAAGGGCACAGGGCTGGGCCCAGGCACCAAGGGGTGAGGCGTGGGTGTCCTGGGCTGTTGGAGGAGGGCAGGAGCCCCCACCTGGAGGCCGGGCACTCACACACTGAGAGGCAGCATACCCGGAGCTGAAGAGGGGCGCGAAGAGCCCAGACCAGGAGGAGGAGGAGCTGGGTCAAAGCCGTTCACTGCCCTGTGGAGCGACCATGGCAGAGAGAGGGAGGGAAGGGAAAGAGAAAGAGAGACTGTCATTTAAAAGTATTCCACACACAATAAGAAATTCATTTGCTTTCTCTAACTAGTCCTCACCTGGCCTACAGTACAATCCTGACAGCCCAAGGGTGAGTGGCATCCCAAAAAGCATCAGTTGGCCAGATAATTGAGAGTACATTTTTAGTCTGGGATACCCAGACCCACATTGACCCACCTGAGCAACTTCGCCACACTGACCACTGCAGCCACAGTCCTGATTTTTTTCCCCACAGACCAGATCTAAATGACTGGCAATAGTGAACTAGTTAAATAAATGACTGTATGACAACACAATGAAATATCATACACATTCTTCAAGTTTTTTAATAGCATGGGAAAATATTTAGAATGTACTTAATGCTAAATGGAAAATGCCTATGTTCCATGATCTTAAGAAAACAATATATAACCTAGATTCTACAGTGTTGTGGGTCTTATGTACACAAATAGAGAATGTGTGGATTCTATATACACATACATTATATATGCACATACATATACATACATGTATTATATATATCACAGAAGTAGAATTTAACAATCTTACCTTTCTTCCCTCTGAATACTAAGTAAATTTTGTTTACTACTTTATACTTAATTATTTTCCAAATCTCTTATAAATAATAAGACAGAAAAAAATAACTTTTAAAAATTGTTTAGCAAGCAAAGTCAATTGGGTAGGCTTTTCTTTGCAGACTCATACAAGGACCCCAGCCCCCGACAAGCACCAGCCCCCACACCCAGCAAGGTCAAGAGCCCCCAACCCCACCACCTGGCAGCACAGCCACAGGAAGCAGTAAGGAAGGAATGGAGGGAGGGGCCTAAAACCTCTCTCGGGAGGTTACTTCAGCCTTTTCTGTCCTGAAAACCTTCCAAAGAGAATCTGTCCCACTAGCAACTGTGGGGAGACAGCCAACTGCAAGGGGCTGCACTGCGCCACACCTGCCTACCACTACCCTCCACTTGCTTATAGAATGGGTCCAGGAGCTGACCCAGGGAGCTGGAGAGAGAAGGAAGGGGTGGGAGGTGTTACAAATTCCTCCCAAAGACTACAGTTTTTCATCCTCTGAAGAAGCAACTATAATCTCAGAGAAACAGGCATATAGAGACTTGACAAAGAACCTGTGACTACTCTGAAGCAACAGAGTTTGTATCTCAAGAAAAACACAACCCAGCAAGCACATGCCTGTAATCCCAGTGGCTTGGAAGGCTGAGGAAGGAGGATCGCAAGTTCAAAGCCAGCCTCAGCAATGGCAAGGTGCTAAACAACTCAGTGAGACCCTGTCTCTAAATAAAATACAAAATAGGGCTGAGGATGTGGCTCAGTGGTTGAGTGCCCCTGAGTTCAATCCTCAGTACCCTCCCCACCAAAAAAAATCAAACACATTTGGAATCTGAAATCAAGCCACACACAAAAGAAACTAAGAACAATGGATGGGAAGCTCTGATGAACGTGACTTCACCCTGTTGTATAATGTTCTACTTCAGTGATAGACAGCCTGAATTTTCCCTTTTCTTTTTGGGATAAGGGAAGTCTGATTTTTGAGCTTCATCCCTTAAAAACTTTAAATCATCTTTCCTCATTCTCCTCCCATGATTACATGCCTATGTTGTCACTGAGGCTGGGGGCCACATCCTATGTCATTGTAGCACTCATCTAATAAGGCCATCTGTCATTTGTCTGGTTAGTCTCAGTATCCCCGATTCCTGGCTCCTCCCAGAAACCTCAAGAAGAACAAGACAAAAGGCCTCAGTTTCCAACATGTGACTTAGTTTCCTGGCATCACAAATCACTGTGATGGGCCAGCTTTACTACAGATAGCCACCAAAACTCAGCAGAGAGGGAGCACTGTGGGTTGCCAAGAAGAATCTGGCACCTGGTCTATAGGACACACAAAAGCAGCAACCACGAGAGTGGGTCCTTGCAGGTTTGGAGGTAGGTTTCCAGCATTTTAAAGTTAGATGGACTTTTAAAGAAATATCAAGTTTATCTCCATTTTATAGAGCTAAGGAAACCAAACAGAAGGTATAATCATGAACTCAAGCTCACCCAGTGAGTTGTGGGGAAGCTGGGCCACAACCTGCCTCCACATGCCCAGGGCACTAGCCCTTACCAGCCTCCTTTGGTCAGAAGCCACTCAACAGTCATCAACAAGCAGTCACTTTGGTGCTCCCAGTGCACAAAAACTCTAGGGGGAAAAATAAGCAGTACAATCCAGGATAAAAGGGCAAACTGGAACTAGGTAAGTAACTTCTCCAAGTAGAACTCTTGACTTGAAGGTGGGTGGAGTACAGAAAAGAGGACAATCTGCCAGGGTCTCAGCATCTCTCTTCTGAGTCAAATCCCATCAAAATGGACAACTATAATACACTGATAAACATATTTGGGGAAAAAATGGGAAATTAGAACCAGAGGAAGAACACTGATCCTATAGGTAGGATTTTCAGTCAGGTGAGGTCCCTCCGGGGAACTACAAAGGAGAAAGGATCCCAAGAGAAAAATCGCCTCCATATACATCAGAAATAGCAAAAGAGTCAAAGGGAAACGTCCCAGTGGACCACACAGCACTCAAAAGAAGAACAGGAAGGGATGGAAGGACAGATCTGGGAATCAACTATCCAGGCTGGGCACAGTGGCTCATACCTATAATTCCAGTGACTAGGGAGACTGAGGCAGGAGGATCACAAGTAAGAGGCCAGCCATGGTAACTTAGCAAGACCCTCAGCAACTCGGCAAGACCCTGTCTTAAAATAAAAAAATAAAAAGGAGCCTGGGGATGTAGCTCATTGGTGCAGTGTCCTTGGATTCAATCCCCAGTACCAAAAAGAAAAGGTTCCCAACCTATGAAATTTATGATTTTACACAGCGTCTAGTTAAGGAGTCTGAAAAACTGAGACTAAGAAAAGGTGCTACAGTCAGTTGTAAAATGGCAACGTAGTAGTAAAAAGGGGAAATGAGCTAATGCATGTTTAGAATAAATCTAACAACAGAGATAAAGGAGGGAAACTCTTAAATCTGCCAAAGAAGGAGGTCAGCACACCTGAGAAGTCAGCTTGAGCTAATTCAGAAAAGCAGGAAGCACACTCAAGGGCCTGAGTCACCCTATTTCAATGCATAAACTGAAGCTCTGAGCAGCTCCAATTCTTCACCTGCATTGTGCAAACTGAAATGCAATTTTGAAACTAAGGCAGATCTTATACATGCATCCCATCTGCCATTCTAGTTTAATCTGGGAACACAAAAGCAAGCACACAGGCAAAGGAGTTCATAATTACTTATGCCTGATTTAAGAAAAGCAATTGGAGAACAGAAGGAGCTCTATCCCTCTGAAGACAGTCCAGTGTGATGGGCCACCATGCCTATCTACTGAAGTTTTATTTCATATGGCTGAGATAGTAATAATGGAGCAATGGTATTTAGTCAAGTAAAATAGGATCTCGAAAGCTCTCTCATGGGCTGTAAGTTGGTTAGAGCTGAATCAGCCCCATGCAGTTAGTAAAACCAGTTTGTTAATGTGTCTTCCACCACACACCATGATTAAGAAATAGGGAAAGAGCACAGCAAACAAATTCAGTTACCCATGAACAACGTAGGAAATATGACTTTTTCTTGCCTAATAAAAAAAAAAAAGGAAAAAATATTAAATAGTAATGCAAATACTATTTTCACATTGTGCTCTAAAATTAGTCTATGCCCACCTACATGAAGCCAAAAAGAAAAGATACTGGTTTGCAAAAATAGAGTAAGTGATATATAGGAAACTAAATCAAATTTATGGAGAAAAAAGTTTTGGAGCAAATTCAACTTACTATATCACATACAAATTTTGTATCCTTTTAGATGGGGACATGAAGGACTTTAAGGTGGGGGTGGGAAGAACCAGCATAAGAAGGCAGAGCAGCCTGCATTTGAAGAACTGGCAGAGAGATCCCAGACTAGGTAAAATCTTGATTCCAAAAAATCCTCAACCAGGGTTTACAAAATACTTCTTGCTCCTGTAAAGCAATGTACCCAGTTCAGGGATAGTTTCATGTGGTAGGGTGTCATTGCATCTGCTACAAGGGGTGAGAAGGTGGGGTGAACCTAATCACCCCGCCACACAAACTTACAAATAACTCCTCCCCAAAAAAACCCTACTACAGGTCTCAAGGCATACTGGTGAGCTACAACAATCACTATAGCCTCCTCAGGGGCAAGGAGTAGGACAGGCAAATTCTGGAGCCTAGGGCTTTTTTAAAAAGGAGCCTGTTCAAGATGATAAAACTATAAACCATACTTCTACACTTCTATAAAGATTAATTTCCCTTTTTTTTTCACTCTGCCAGATTTACTAATGGATCTGGAAATTGAGATATTTCCCTCCTTTCCTTTTGCATCAGGTACATGCCATCTTGGTTTTTGTGTGTCCATAAGGTCAGCAGAAGAAAGACTGGAGATACAAAGGTAGGCAGCCTGAGGCTGAGGCAGGAGGACTGTGAGTTCAAAGCCAGCCTCAGCAACTTAACAAGGGCCTAAGCAATTCAGTGAGACCCTGTCTCTAAAAAAAAAACACAAAAAAAGGCTGGGGATATGGCCAAGGCAGAGCATTAATGAAGTGAACACAGCAAACCCACAGATCACTCAAGCAACAGTCGGTTAGTATTGCAGTGTACATATACAATCCATTTGTCAAATAATCCCAACACTTGATTGAATAAGGGGCAGCCCACAAAAGCATATTTCTCTTTTGGTAGAAATAATACAATATAAAATTCATATAATTTAAAACCAAAACCAAGTACCACCTGGAACTAGTTCTATTGGGAAGTACCTTTCCCAGTTCAGTCCAGGAAACAATGCCTACACTGCATCTAGCCTGCTTCCTGGGGGCGGGGGCTCCGGCAGAGAGCCCAAGGCCACTCCAGCTTTCAGCCTACTTTGGATCCCCTACATTTCCCCAAGAATGGGTTCATCTCTGGGCAATTGCTCCTCTATGACCAGAGGCAAATGAAAGGCAGGAGCAAAGAGCCTGAACAGATCGTGTTATCCCTCCCTCCCTGTTGTGACCATCCTGAGGCACTTCACACACAAAGGCACCTGTCCAACCAATCCAGTTCTGGGTCTTTCCTGTTCTCATGTCACAAGATACCTGAGGCCCACCAAAATATATGCTTGCAGACAGAGATTAACAACTACTCTACTGGAGGTAATTAGAAGTTGCAGGAGAAAATAATTAGACCTTATTTCCAATGCTCTTGAAGACTTCCCTTAAACTTTCTCCTTATAAATTGAGGGAAATGGTTACTCTTGTGTGAAATAAATAAATAAATATTCCATGTATCATTCATTATAGTATAAACACAGGGGTAACTCCCCAAGTTTTCCTGAAACTCCTAAACCTAAGGAAAATTAATTTTATACTTACCCCACCAAAGAAACTACAAAAGTTAGAACAGAGTTCTGATTTATATATTTATATTTTTCAATGTATTTTTAAAAGAATATCTACGAAATGTATATACTTCAGGGCAGAATTCTCTTAAGGCACAGAGATAAAACAACACTACTATGGACAGTAAGGATGAAAAATAAGATCCTTTTAAAAATAGGTTGTGTATCAAATTGGTCCTCTGTAAACATTCTGTAATTATTGAGGATAGCAGAAAACATAAGCTCTTTAAGAAATTGTGAAAATTTCTAGAGTTGTGCCTGCATTTCTTCCACACAAAAAAACAAGGAAGAACTGTCTTCAGGACTCAAAGCAGAGACAATGACAAGGGATCATGGGTACCTCAGCTGCTTGTAACAGTAACAGCTACCTAAAGTAAAATGGTCAGTATTCCTAGGCCACAGGCCCTAACTAGTTTCCCATATTAAGGCATGCCCATAATAGAAGGATAGTCATGCAATGTTTTTTAAAAAATCAGGTAGAACAATATGTAATGACATGGAAAGATACAGGCAATGTAAGTCATGATAAAAATGATACAGAGCAACATTTAAAGTATAATCCTGTGTGTGTTGCAAAAAACTTACAGCAGATGCATAAAAATGATTTTGCATGCCTAAGAATAACTCTAAGGAATGCAAAAAAAATAGTATAGCAGAAAATAGCACTTTTAAGTTCACAAACTTATATACCAACTGAATTCTTTTATTAATAATATACCTTTGCCTTCAATCTTAAGACAATTTTTTTTTAAATCCTCCCAAAAAAAGTCTCCACTTTATACAGAAGTTGTATCTCCTAAAATGAATTTGATCCAGTGTCTAATAATTCTGGATTTTATATTTTTCTAAAATTTTCAGATAAGGGATTTTCTCAAGAAGTTTGGATGTATTCATTTCTATCCTTTAAAAAGATTCGCCAAGTGAGTCATAGGCCATAAAACGTGGAAAACTGGGACCACAGCTAGCCCTACAGAATCACCCAAGCCCAGCACTGCTGCCTTCAAGGGTCTGCTCCCAGAACAGAAGCTGCACACTCCAGGCACCAGAGGCACAGACTCCACAGAGACCAGAAGACGACAACAGATTTCTGTCTTCCAGGATTTGAATGAGAATTGGCTTTGGGTTTATCAAACTGAGTGTATGTTCTCAAGACTCATAATCTGTTGACTTTTTCTGCAACATTACTACTCCAAAACTGATCACTTAAAAAATCCAGGACTTACCCTTTGTCAAAGAAAGACGTGTGCCCTGATCGAGAGAACTTTGTGCCATTGCTATTCATCACTCCACAGTTCACATTCCCTGAAATATAGGATTTTCGTGATGCTTGGTCCTTTGCAAAATTCCTGCAAGCTGCTAATTTGGATTCTAAAGCCTATGAAAGGAAGAAAGAATGATTTGGTTGTCAAAACAGGAGATGTAGAGAAAATTTTGCATTTCAAACTATATCTATTTCAAGCTTCAGCCTTTGCTCTCCTGGTTGATAATGGTGGTTTAGTTAAGCCATGATCAATCACCTTTCTAATAGAAAGAAGAAACACTTATATGGACTCTCTTTCTAAAGAGCCCAGAGTATTTATTCCTGTCAGTCTTATTGAGGGATACAGACACAATTCCCACCTGACAACTAAGAAAAATGTGGCACAGTAGGTACAGACAGATCCCAGGTCTCTTGACCCCATCCATTATCTGTATTGGTTGAAGTGAGATGTGTGTGTGTTGGGAGCAAGCACTATAAAGAATCCAAAAATATAACTTGAGAATGTTTTTAATGCAGCCAATTCTTTGTATAGGTTCTTCTGTCCGGTTTTTCCAATGCATCAGAATGGATACAAAAGCATTTACAACAACCTCAGAAGAAATTAAAAGTCATTTTATTTCTGAGAGCACATTGTTTAACTGATACTCTTTGTCTATAATTTAATAACTCACCTGAAAATAATACTGGCCCTTTAGCATTTACTTCTAAATTGAGTATTTTTACTTTGCACCTGTCATAGCACCTAGCAAGCGTCAGGCTCTACCAACTAACAAACTACATGACGAGAATTAAAGTTTCTCATCTATTTCCACATATGCAGATATCACCAACTTCCTCCTTCCCATCAACACTCTGACCAAATCAAATACCACTCCCCAAAAAGGAAAATATAATCCATGGCCAAAACAAAAGGGACAAAATATACAGTCCACTCCTGTCATCCATGACACTAAAAGACTAGAAATGCACAGATAAATTAAATCCGAAGATAACGTATACTTCTGAGAATCCACTTGGATGTCCTACTCCTAAAATTTCAATAAGACTGCTTAGGAAACAGCAGTAAAAACTTCCTGAAAATTTTTTTCTCCTCCCTCCTTCCTATGACAAAAAGTATAATGAGCTAGTAAAATAATGACAGAAAGGAGAAGAAAGGTAATGACATTATAAGATAAGCTAAGTGAAAATCATTTACTGACTTGTAAATATACACATCCACAGTACACACTGAAAGTCATGAATTCCCTATATTCAGTGAACACACTTGTCTATTCATTCAAATTATTTTCTGAGCATCTGCCACATGGCAGGCACAAGTTTTGTTTGAGGCATCAGTGACACACACAAGCGCGATCACTGGGGTCTTTTCAAGGGAAAAGGATAATCTAGAGGCTAAGATTCAGATGTCATCCACACCCAGCGATGGATAAATTCATGGTTGTGAATTATAAAATCAGAAAACCAAGGATAGAACTCTTAGCAGAACCAGAAAGGGCAGGCAAAGACCCAACAAGATGACTAAGAAAACTGGGCAAAAAGGTGTGAGCAGCCATTAAACAATGTCAGGGAAGCAGAGGAAAGAGGACATTTCAGGGAGAAAAAAAAGCAGGTCAGCATTGAATGTTTCAAACAAAATTAGAACAGCACACACTGGCTTGACAGCACTGAGATCACCAGTGTGCAGGTTTAGTGGATTGAGCAGGGAACAGAGCCCAGACCAGAATGTCTAGGGAGTTTGTGCATGGTCAAAATGCTAACAATAAATGTAGACAGGCTTTCAAAAGGCTTGGCTGTGAAGTGAAGAGAGAAGGGTGAGGCTAAAGAGACATGCAGTGTAAAAGGAATGAAGAGCTGCTTTATTTTTGCTTTTAAAGATTTAAAAAAACAAATTATGTAAGGGGCTGAGAGTGCAGGTCAGTGGTAGGGTATGTGCTTAGCATACACAAGGCCCTGGGTTCAACTGCTAGCACCAAAAATAGTAATATGTGATACATAAACATTACACATAAAGATTATAGTATGTGTATAATACATATCACAGAATATACAAATATTACATATGGAGAAGTAAAGATTAAAAAGGTTGAAAAGAATGGAATCCAAAGCACATATGGATAATACTAGCCACTGGCAGCAATCTGACACTTTTACCACTGAGACAAAAAGGAAGAATGGCTACAGAGGTAATGACAGGAGGGAAATAACAGAAGGCAAGAGAAGAAATTAAGTTTAAATCAGATGGCCTTGATTTTCTCTGTGAAGAGATAGTGGATAACAGGAATGGAGTGTTAGCCTATAAGAGTGGGGACAGCACAAATGAAATATGCATGAAAGCTCTCACAGGGACTGGTGGATAACTGCACACCAAAAGTTTTAGTGATATCTTAGAAGACAGACTGTTGGCTAAATAGGTAAACCATGTAAAGACTCCAAATTAAACTTTCATCACCACTTCCGAATAAATTATATGAAAGCAAAACAAAAAAGGAACAAAGAAAATTAACCACTTCTGAATAAATTACATAAAAGCAAATCAAAAAAGGAACAAAGAAAATTAATTCAAGTGGCAGGTAGAACCAACCAAGAGTATGATGGAGACAAAGTCTAGGATGACAGTGGCACAACAGCACTAGAAGTACATCAAGGCATTCAGCAGAGTGTGAATGAGAAGCTGGAAGATAAAGAGAGATCACAAAGAAAGCATGTTTCTTCAACCACAAAAAAGAAAGGTAATTCTAAGTGCTAGGAAAAGAAAACTTGGCATACAAGTCAGCTAAGATACAAATATGCGGGGCTGGGGATGTGGCTCAAGCGGTAGCGCGCTCGCCTGGCATGCGTGCGGCCCGGGTTCGATCCTCAGCACCACATACAAACAAAGACGTTGTGTCCGCCGAAAACTGAAAAATAAATATTAAAAAAAAAATTCTCAAAAGAAAAAAAAAAAAAAGACACAAATATGCTATGATTTTGAGTAAACAATAAACAAAATGTTTGAAACATCTATTGAGTGGCACAAATACCATGGGCCCAACTCCTCCTCTATGATTATGCAGTAAATGTCATACATGGGCATCAGAATGTAAAGTCTATTTGACTACTTTTTAATCAGAACCAAGAGAGAGCTCAAGAAGGGGCAGTGGAGCAGGAAGAGAGAGAGGAGGAGAGATTAGGGAGTTGAGATAGAGTCTAGTAATTCCAAAACAGAGGCTTAAAAAGTTATTTAGGGTTAAGGCTGTACCTCAGTAGTACGGCATGTGTTTACTATGTATGACACCCTGGGTTTGATCCCCAGCACCATATTGAAAAAAAGAACTGGGTATGGTGGGCACACACCTGTAATCCCAGCACCTGGGAGACTGAGATAGGAGGATCTCAAGTTCAAAGTCAGCCTCAGCAATGGCAAGGCACTAAGCAACTCAGTGAGACCCTGTCTCTAAACAAAATACAAAATAGGGCTGGGGATATGGCTCAGTGGCCAAGTGCCCCCTAAGTTCAATCCCCCCACCCCCAAAAGAGAGAGAGAGTTATTTAATAACAGATGAATAAAAAATGAAAATGAAATGGGAAGTGGTAGGTTAAATTATTTTGTTGTTGTTTCAAGGTGATTAAATCAAGATGAAGACAGACAAATCATTTTAAGCTATAAGGGTGTACACAACTCTTATGAAAAGGAGAGTTAAAACATGGTCATCTTGGCATCTCTGGAATGAAGAAACATTAGGGCTGGGATTGTAGCTTAGTGGTAGAATACTTGCCTAGCACAGATGAGGCACTGGGTTTGATCCTCACCACCACATAGAAATAAAGAAATAAAATAGAGGTATTGTGTCCATCTATAACTAAAAAAAACTTTTTTAAAAAGATTAATCTATGTACTACATGAATGATTCATGCACATTTCTCTTTATTGTAATAAGTTTAAAATGAGAGAAAATCAGACAGTTTGAAAATAATTCATTTTTTGAGTCAAAAAAGGCAAACATCGGACATTGTGTGTTGGCCTCCTATTTCTTCTTTAAAGTATAATGCAATTTCTAATTTTTCCAGAAAATTTTTTACACAAAAATAAGTGAAGGGGTGGTGTGGACGGTAGAAGTTTTAAGAGTTGGTTACTGAAAATGAGTGATAAAAGTCACTGAGAGAAATGAAAAAGAAAGTTAATGCTAGAAATGGGAATGTTATAGTAATGACATCAATCCACATGGTCCTATAACTGTTTCCAGTAATCCAACTGTTTAGTTGTTCCAGATTGCAGCCCTTTATGATCAAAGAGAACAAGAAGTCAACAGCCACAGAATAAGTGAACTGTGTCATAACAGAGGAGTAGAAAGAAAAGGAAAGCAAGAGATGGCTGATAAAGACAAATACAACAATACATAAACAAATCAGTACTCCTGGTAAAGTCAAATGGTAGGCATTAAACAGAATTAAAAAAAAAACGAATAAGAAGCCAGACATGCCAGCACGCACCCGTAGTCCCAGCTACTGGGGAGGCTAAAGTAGAGGATCACTTGAGCCCTGGAATTTAAAGCCTGAGCATCATAGCAAGAATGCCTCAAAACAGACAACTGATTAAGCAGAAAAACTAGTTTAATATTTCAAAAACCAAACTGTTATGGAACACAAGGTTAGAGCTAAAGAGAATGGACTAAAGTTAAGGTGGTTCCGAGAGCAATAAGATAGAAACAAAGAGTAGCAATGCCACAAGCCAAATGTCAACATCCCACAAAATAAAAGATGAGGGAATGACCAGGAAAATGGAAAACAAGGATTAGAGGGTGGTCAAAGACACTTAGAGGCTTCACAGTAAGTATCTTAAACAGAGACAGAGATGTCATGCTATAAACACAGCAGTAGGGAACTCAAAGATCACCCGAGTGGTAACCTCCAAGCTCAGGCCCTTCTGCAGAGGCACCAAAAGCCCAGCACTGGTCTCTACTAGTCACTGGATGCCTTTGCTTCTCAACTTTATTGTTACAGATCACACGAAAGTATCCTTTTATTCCTCCTTCACTTCCAATTAAGAAACAACTCAATCCTACTGCGCAATGGCAACACCTAGTGATAAAATAATTAAATGCTTACCCCTACTTTCCGTAAGAGATCCCCCACGATGTTTAGTGCTGATATCCTAGCAGAAGGAGTTAGTGGACTGGTTCCAAAACCATTTGGTATAGCTAAAGAAAAAGAGAGTGATGACATTAGCAATTCCCTTTACGTTTGGGTTTTGTTGTTGCAACAACAGAGTACACGCTCCAAAGAAAATCAATATACTATTTCCAACTAACCCTTTCTCTTATGTACATGTATCTCTGAGTGTAACATTTATCTTTTAAACTTTATTTTGGCCAGGGACAGGAGAAACCTTTGGCTTCCCCATCTCAGTGATCTAAAAAATATTCCCCATATTTTCCCTCAGTAGTTTTCTAAATCTTTTTTAACATTTAGATCATTTGAAGGTTAGGGGGATGGTTCAGTGGAGAGTATTATAGCATGCACAAGGCCCTGGGTTTTAATCTCCAGCACAGCGGGCAGAAGGAACCTAGATCATTCAATGCACCTGTAATTTATGGCTGCCTGAGACATAATGTAGAGGGGGCTGGGGATATAGCTCAGTTGCTACAGTGCTTGCCTCACATGCACAAGGCCCTGGGTTCAATCTGAGCACCACAAAAAAAAAAAAGAGAGAGATAATATAGGTATCTAAATGTTTTTCCTCCAAATGGATAGCCAACTTTCCTAATATCATTTAGGTAAGACCTCACATCTGAAATAGGACTATAGACTGAATTCCTAACTATTTATATATATTTCAGTTTCACTGAATTATTTAAGTCTATGCCATGAGAAGTATTACTCTTTTCATTTTAACTGATAAAAATTGTATGTATTAATGGAGTACCATGTAGAAGTAATTAATACAGTGTTAAAATCTATTTTTGCTATCTAAGAAGGCAAAGCCCCTTCTTGTTATTAGCCTATTTCAAACTTTTCTTAACCATTCTTACACATCTACTATTCTAAAATAACTTGAACTTCAACTTCTCAATTTTAAAGATCCTGTTAGAACTTTTATTAGAAGGTTCCAATATACAAATGTATCTATAAAAAGAACCAATAAAAAAAACATAAAAATAAAATCATACTCTGTAATTAAATATTTCTTATAAATTTTAAAAAAATTTTAGTTGTAGATGGACACATACCTTTATTTTATTTATTTATTTTTATGTGATGCTGAGGATCGAACCCAATGCCTCACATTTGCTAGGCTAGCACTCTACCACTGAGCTATAACCCCAGCTCTCTGTAGTTAAACATTTTTTAAAACTAAAAAAATAAAATAAAATTGTATCTATTTGTCAACCCTGCCTTAGGGTTTATGTCTAATTCTGTGCCAAGGCAGGTCCTGTGTCCTGTTTACTCCTTAATAAAAACTCTAACGGGCTATCAAAGAATGTGCACTGTCTTTGGTCTCACCCAACCTAGGCTTTCAACTATTCTGACTGGTAAACAATCAAAAGAATTTTCAGAACTTATCTATATGTTCTAATTAACAGCATAAAAGCAAAACTTTGTTAATTCTCAGAGTTCGATAATTGTAAAGTTTTCAGATACATAAGTATCTGACAGTGAGAGCTTCTGATGACAGCTATAAACTACAGTGTCTGCAGCAAACTCAGAACATTCTACTATAATTAATAACTAGTGCTATATGACTACATAGCATTTTCACTTGCCTTACCTACTTTTGTCTCATAATAAGCCTAAGACAATTTGAAATGTGGTTAGTGCAACTGATAAACTTACTTTATATTTAATTGCATTTCAATCAGTTTTGTGGGGGTTTTTGTTTGTTTGTTTGTTTTGTTTTTTTGGTGGTGCTGGGGATCGAACCCAGGGCCTTATATATGCAAGGCAAGTATTCTATCAACTGAGCTATATCCCCAGCCCTTCAATCAGTATAAATTAAAAGTCATATGTGGCTAGGGGCTACTTTATCAAGCAGTCCAGATACACAGTTTACTGTACTAATTGCCCAGACAGCAAACCTCCTTCTATTACTCTGAAAGTTAAAGCCCTATAATTTAAAAAGGGTAGGAGGAAAGACTGCTTCAGTTTGGGATGAAAGCAGCATGGAAGAGTGAGAATAGCTGAGATGAGCTGCAAAAACTAAAATCTGAATTGAGAGCTTTGGGATTTCCTTCTAAGGTTCTATCTAGTGACTACTAAGTGGTTTTTCTTCTTCTCCAGATTGCTTTTGCCATTATCTGACAGCAAAAGCAATATTCTCAAACTACAGCTCACCAGTTACCCTGAAGGTCACCTTTGATGACAGCAGCTCCTGAAGCATGTTAACAGAATGGGCATATCTATTCAAAACCTCTAGTTTTACATAATACTGATAAGCAGCAGAAGCAAGAAATAAAACTGTATTTAAGTATGGCTCCAAAACTTGAGTGTGAAGAGGAGATGTGCACAAATACAATACACATTAGCACACAGAAAGAAACTTAAAATGCTCAAGACAATTGTATTGAAGTAGTTAAGATTATAGATGGTTTTGATTTTCATTTTTTCTTTTTTTTTGTTTTTAATTTTTCTTCATGGGGCTTGTTCAATGGTAAAATACTTGTCTAATATGAGCAAGGCCCTGGATTCAATACCCAGCACCAAAAAAAAAAAAAAAAAGCCCACCTGCATGAATATGTTCTACTCCTAGAATTAAAAAGTAAACTTTCTTGCTAAACTTTTCACTTTTTAAAATCTCAATTAAGCTGTTGATGTCTTAAAGGCAGCCATTATTTGTTTCCTACATAGCAGTGGCTGAGGAAAACAGTTGCTCTGCTTCAAAAGCACTTGATTGAACCAACTTTTAAACTGCAATTACTGATTGAACCTTAGCAACTCCTGTTTCATCAACAAATCCTCTTCAGTTGATAATCTAACACAGACTCAAAGAGAAAGACAAACCTTTTGGTGAAGGAAAACTATTTTCTGTTCCTTTGCCAACAGGAGTAGCTGGCAAAGAGAGTGAAGCCTGGACAGCAGAATCCATCTTCTCACAGTCCAACGTGGGAGAACTGGGAGCTGACTTTCGGGTCACTTCCTGTTGTCTCTCCCGAACTGCTAGTTCTTGCCTTAAGTCTGCAATGTTGCAAACAAAGACAAGAATACTCACTAGAGGGAGCAAATACATTAAGCAAAGTCACATCTGCAATGTCATAAAGACCTTCTTGCTCAAGTACTATCTCTCAGAAATGAAATTTCTATTTAACAACTTCTATTTCAAGGGAAATAAAAATGACAGCTCTACAATCTGAATGATTTCTTGGAATTTAAAAATACTATAACCTCAGAGAATAGTCACTATGTCCAAATGCAAAAAAGAAATAAGGCCAGGTCCAAAATAGAACTCAGAATATACCTATATGACATAAAAATAAATATTCTTTACCAACTCATTTGCTTTCATTTTAAAATGATGGAGTTTAGAGATTACTGCAAAATCAATAAAATGTAGTTTTGTAATTTTAAATGGGTTGGGTTTTTTAATTATCATGAAATATTTTGTTTTAGAAAAATATTCAGAACAGTTTTTTTCTTTCAAATATTGGATTTTTAACACAAAATTAATATTCTCTTTTCCAGTTACACAACCAACCTACAGAACATTTGCTTATGTTAAAAAAGGAAGCAGGCTGGGGTTGTAGCTCAGCAGCAGAGCACTTGCCTAGTGCGTGAGAGGCCCTGGGTTCAATTCTCAGCACCACATATAAATAAATAAGTAAAAAGAAAGGTATTGTATCCAATTACAACTAAAAATAAATAAATATTTTTTTAAAAAAAGGATGCAAAGTTATTCCAATCCTGGGATCCAAAAGAATTCAAAACAGGATCACAGATTATGCACATCTGTGCTCCTAACAACATTAATTATAATAGCTAAGAGATGTAAGAAAACCAATGTCCATCCATGGATGAATGAAGAATATGGATACACATAACAGAATATTATTTAAAAAGAAGGATATCCTGTCATATTACACCGATAAACCTTAGGACACTATGCTAAGTGAAAATAAGCCAGTCACAAAAAACACAAATACTGTATAATTATACTTATGTGAAGTGTTTAAAGAAGTAAACTCACAGAAACAGAAAGTAGAACTATGATCCCAGGGGGTGGGGAGGAACACGAGAGTTGCTGTTTATATGGTTTATATAGTTTCAGTTTTGCAAGATGAAAAAGTTCTAGAGATCTATTACTCAATAATGTGAGAATACTTTGCACTACTGAACTATGCACTTTGGCTAACATTAAGACAGGCGTGGTGGCACATGCCTGTAATCCCAGCAGCTCGGGAAGCTAAGCCAGAAGGATCGTGAGTTCAAAGCCAGCCTCAGCAACTTAGCAAGGCCCTAAGCAATTCAGTGAGACCCTGTCTCTAAATTAAAAAATACAAAAAAGGGCTGGGGATGTGGCTCAGTGGTTAAGCACCCGGGGTTTAATCCCCAGTACCCACCAAAATAATGGCTAAGACATTAACCACAATTGTAAGTAAATAAGATACAAAGTTAATATTTTATACATTATATAAACTATAAGAAGCTCTACAGATGAATACATCAGGAGGGGGAACACACGAAAAACAATCTATAAAACAGGTGTTATGGTTTAGATATGAGGTGTTCCCCAAAAGCTCACGTGTGAGACAATGCTAGCAAGTTTAGAGGTGAAATAATTGGGTAAGGAGAGCCTTAACTTAATCAGTGTATTAAGCCACTGATATGGATTAACTGGGCAGTAACTATAGGCAGGCAGATTATTAATGGAGGAGATAGGTCACTGGGGACATGCCTTTGGGGTTTATATTCTGTCCCTGGTGAGTGAGTCTCTGCTTCCTGGTGGCCATGTCCTGAGTTGCTTTCCTGCACCATGCTCTACTGTCATGATGTTCCACCTTACCTCAGGCCCAAAACTACAGAGTCAGCTCCTCTGTGGACTGAGACCTCTAAAGCTCCAAATAAACTTTTTCTCCTCTATGTTGTTCTTGTCAGGTCTTTGGTCACAGTAATGAAAAGGCTAACTAAACAACAGTCAATAAAGATTGGAAAAAGCTCTCCAAGAGTAATCATTTACTATAAATTAAAAAGCAATGAAGCTGGGCATGGTGGCACATACCTGTAATCCCAGCGGCTGGGGAGGCTGAGCAGGATGATCAAAAGTACAAAGCCAGCCTCAGCAACTTATGGAGGCTCTAAGCAACTTAGTAAGACCTTGTCTCAAAATAAAAAATAAAAAGGGCTGGGGATGTGGCTCAGTGGTTAAGGGCCCTTGGGGTTCAATCCCTGGTATCAAAAAAAAAAAGCAACAGCAGCAATGAAAAGCCAGGCACAGTGGCATATGCTATAATCCCAGTGACTCCAGAGGCAGAAGCAGAAGGATGGTCAGCCTCAATAACTTAGCCTATTTTATTTTTTATTTTGAGACAGGAACTTGCTGACAACAAGATCCTGTCTCAAAATAAAAAATAAAATAGGCAGGGCCAAGAATGGTGACACATGCCTATAATCGCTGCAAGTTGGCAGCTAAGGCAAGACAAAAGCAAGTTCAAGGCCAGCCTCAGCAAACTTAAGTGAAATCCTGTCTCAAAATAAAAAATAAAAAAGGGCTGGGAATATGGTTCAGTGGTTAAGCACCCCTGGGTTTAGTGCCTAGTACCCCAAAAAAAAAGAAAAAAGTGATTTTCAACTTTCAAATGAATTGATTTTTGAATAAATTTTAAATATGTTTTTATTATTGATGATGTTGATAAACAATGTAAGAAGGTCCTTAGTCATTGCCAGAGGGAGCAAAAAGGTACCGACTTATGTAAAAAATGAGCTTGTATATTACGACCAACAAAACCTTCATTTTCTTTGCCACTTATAAGAATTTCTTCCTGGAGGCCTGGGGTTGTGGCTCAGTGGTAGAGTGCTTGCCTGGCATGCATGAGGCACTGGATTCAAACCTCAGCACCACATAAAAAATTAATTAATTAATTAAAGTATTGTGTCCATTTAAAACTAAATAAAATTTTTTTAAAAAATTTATTCTTAGGAAATCAAAGATGCTCCTAAATATTATGTATGAGGATCCTAATCATAGCACAATTTACAGTGGGAAAAAATAGTCACCAATAAAGAACTTCTTAAAATATAACTGTAATAAAATAGTATAGCATTTTTAAAAATATTTTTAGTTGTAGATGGACACAATGCCTTTATTATTTGATTTATTTTTATGTGGTACTGAGGATGGCGAACCCAGTGCCTTACAGGTGCGAGACTAGCGCTCTACCACTGAGCCACAACCCCAGTTTCTATATAACATTTTTTAAAAATCTATTTTATATAATTTATTAATGGTACAAATATAGAATTCCCTATGTAGAATTCTCTGTTAAAGGCAAATGTTAAGGAGTGAAAAAAATACACTTGTGTGTATCTGATTGGGTGTGTGGAAGATAAGTGACAGGAACTATAAAAAGGGAAAAAATAGATATGCATAGTCATAGAAAAGAATAGAAAGAAATATGCCAAACTCTTAGTGGATTCCCTCCAAATAAAGGGATTGGTACGATCTTCATCTTCTTCAAGATACTCTGCATTCTACTAAAAAAGGGGAGAAGGGAAACTATTTTGAGGAAAATATATATTAACTATATGTATAATAAGTATACAATAGTGTGTACATATTTAGTGCTGTGTGCATAACAAAATTATTTAGGCATAAATAGTAAGAAGACCAGGTATGCTGGCGCATGCCTATAATCCCAGCAGCTCAAGATGCTGAGGCAGGAGAATCAAAGTAAGCCGCAGCAACTTAGCAAGAACCTATGCAACTCAGTGAGTCCCTGTTTCAAAATAAAATATAAAAAAGGGCTGGGATATGGTTCAGTGGTTAAGTGCCCCTGGGTTCAATCCCAAAAACAAAAAACAAAACAAAACAAAAAAGTAGTACGTAAAAACCCAAAACAAACCAAGCAATATATGTACAGTGGTAATAATTAAAGCTTTGAAAAACAGACCAGGATTTCAGTCCTAGCTGACAAGCTATACTGCCTTGGAAAAACTCAAATTCTCTGTGCCTCAGTCTTCTCCTCCTTAAAATAGGGAAAATCTACCTCTTAGCATTGAGGACATAGGTATTAAGAAAATAAACAGATTAAAAGCATTCAGGGCAACTTAAAAGAAGGTGAGGGCTGGAGACTAGCTCGCCCATAGAGTACTTGCCTAAGTGAAGCCCTAGGCTCAACTATCAGCAAAAAAAAAAAAAAAAAAAATTAACATAGAAAAAAAGAGGTTGACTCCTTAGCTTACTAGACAGCAAAGTAATAGATAAACATCCTCTAAATTATAAATCTTACCTCTTGCTTCATCCTTTAACCTCTGTACAGAAACCAACAAGGATTCCTTTTCATCGAGTTCACTTTCTAAAAATGCATTTCGTTCAATGGCCTGATTTAGCCTTTGTTCAAAGTCTTCCAGTGAAACTATTGTTGCCCTTAAAAAAAAATAGTGCCCATGAATTAAATAAACAACTGTACAAATTGCTATTATAAAAAGAAACAGTTTATCTCCCACCATTTCTGACCTAGCCAGTCTGGCCCAGTTCAAAGAGAATGATCTCAACCCATTTAACAAACATTAACACAAACCTAATCTGAGCCCCTCCCACTCTATGCTCCGACCTTCATCCCTAACCTTCTCCAGTCTTCTGCTTTAATTCCTCATCACCTGGATTATTCTTTAATAATCTTTGTGCCTCCTCCCCAACTTTCAATTCCTCAGTATTATCTTCTCAAAACCTGATATTACTCTTTTGTTTAAAAAATTAAAAAAACAAAACAAAACACAAGGTTCTTCACAACCTGGCCCCAACCACATTTAACCACTCTATCACATTCAGCAAAACTGTGTCAAGACAACTCAATCAAAGTGAAACTAGTAATACCCAAAGCACCTTCCTACCTCTCTACCTTTGCATCTGTCCCTTCACCTGTTTAACTTCTCTCCTCCTTATAGACTCCAATATCTGCAAAGGCTTTCCTGGTTCCCACAGGTACTCTGCTGCTCCCACCTCTGTACAACCAGAGCAGCCTATACACTCTTTTTGCCACAGTATTTGCCACAGTGAATGTTCTTATCTGTCAGCCCCAAGGATAGTAACTTGCTAAGCTGTTATTCCACAATATTAGCATTATGTCAATCATTTAAGAGCCACTTGATAAATATTAAGTAATACCTTACAATAACTGTAAAGTAACAGGCATTAAGTCTGGAATGGTTAAGAAATAACTAATTACAGAGGCACGAAAATTTGGCAATAGTAATAGCAAACCACCACAGGTCATTAAGGCAAAGTCACTGGTCAGCATTCAAACAGAAGAGAATGAAAAGAACTATAAACGTAAAGAGAGATCCACAGGGAAATAACTGCAAAATTCAGGTAGAAGACATGAGGACCTACAGAAAGCATGGTAGTGTTTTATAGAGAAGAAATGGCAGAATGCATGAGACATGCCTTGAAAAACAAGAAGGATCAACAACAGTGCATGGAGAAAGAAAAAGAAAAAATTAAAAGAAAAGTTTGGGAGGATGTTATCTGGGAAGACAAGGATTTGGGGTGCCTTTTAATCCAACAAAACACCAAAAGGAAATGCTCTGAGATTAAGATCTAGGTGAGAGGGTGAGCCTAATGATACAGATTTCCAACTTTGGTTATTCTCACAAAACACACATCATCATTTACCTCTTTGCTCGCTCCAGGTCATCATTGGCCTGTTCCAGCTCTCTCACATATTTATGCAACTGCTCTTTAATGGCCCGGGTCTGACTTAAATCATCTTCTAATACTGAGACCTGCTTGTAGCTCTGTGCATACTGATGTTCTAGTTTTTCCTGAAGGTATAGATATAGAGAAGAAGGAATAGGTCATTAATATATAGTCTCCTTTAAAGGATGTAACCCAAGTTAAGGAGGGAGGAACAAGGAATCACAATCTGTTGACTGTGCTCCTCTCCTTTTTACAGTATTTTAAAAATAACTAAATATTCTATTCTATGTGTTTTAACTCACATAAAATTAAGTCAACCATTCTCCTCTCATAAAGATCTAATAATGATCTCTGAAAAGAAGTAAAATAATGAAACCTTGGCCTCAACATTCCCAGACTTAGTAGGGGAGCGTCTGGGTTCTCAAGCTGAATGCAACTCAGTGCAAACAGTAGCAGACTGCCATCAGAGTCTAGATTCCCTACCCCTTATTTGTCTCCCCACCTTTCCCAAATCACCCACTCCCTACAGAAATACTCCTAAGCATATAGTTATGGCAGGTGGTGAAGAGCAGAGAAAGGGGTCAACCTTTTTATGCCTGAAAATTCCTATTCAGAAGGGAAACTTTAACACAAATTAAACTCCAAAATGAAGGGGCTATGAACAATAATGAAATAAATGCACATTTCATATAAATAAAATTTTAAAGTACTGTACTATAAGGCAAATGATTTGTCAAGTAATCAGGCAGCTTTTGAAAACTAGAGGAACTTTAATATAACCAGGAACGTTACAACTAGAAAACTGAGGGCCATTAAGTTTCTAAGTGAACTTCTAAACACTGATCCACCTTCCTTTGGTTCTATGAAAGAAAATATTTTATTCAAAAATTCACTTGAAGCCTTTTTTATATCTTTGTTGCCTCTCTCTCTTACACAGACTTGAAAAATATACTTCTCATTTTAATAAAACCCAGTACCATCAGACACCAGCTTCTCCTGCCACAATTACCTTTAACGCCTCCACTTCATATTTCAGTCTTTGGTTATCAGCTTGCAGGTCTCTGTTTCTTTGTTCAGCCTGTACTAATTGTGCCTCCAACTCTGCTTCTAATTCTCTGCTTCCCTCCTGGAATTCAACTAGCTCATCACGAGCTTCCTGGAAGCTAATGAGAATAAAGCAGGAAAGATGAGTAATAATAGGAACTACAGGATCATAGTGAAGATAATGATACACCCCAATTCAATAATTTTTGCCTGAAAATTAATGTTCTCATAAAATATGCTAAACAATAAAGACAATCTGGTCTATATTTCTTATCTATATATTCAGAGTTCAATGAAAATGAGTTATAAACCCCCAAAAGACTCACAAATCAGTAATTAAAATATTTATAAAAAGTCTACATAGTTTAATAACATTAGATTTTCCTCCATAGAAATTAAAGGAAGGGGGCAGGGAAGGAATCTTTATTTACACTAGAGTAACTAAAATTACCTTCAATTCTGTCCAGTGGTAATCACAAATACTCTCATATCACAATAGAGTTGTTATAGATTTCTTTCTTTTTTGCAGTGGTGGGACTGAACCCAGGGCCCTCACACATGCTAGGCAAGCATTCTACCACAGAGTCATGTCCCCAACCCCAGATATCTCTAAATATCATTTATTCTCACTACCAATTCAAAATTAGGTATTATATACCCCCAAATCTTTATTACTTAATGCAGTAACATAGCACAAATTAGTTTAATATTTAGATGACTGTTTTTAATATAATTGGTTTCCTCTGTATTTCTATCATTTAATTTTATGCATTTAAAAACATTCTGAGAAGAGATTGATAGGCTTCAAAGCCATCTGCAACACAAAAAAAGGTAAAGAGCCCCTGATGACCTTCTATCTCCACTGATACAATAGAGTAGCTAGCTGGAGTGATACCAGTGAAAGCACAATAAGGTTTGATAACATTTAATAAATTCTGTTAACCAAACTAGGAAAATGTATAAATACTTTGGAAAGATTCTACTTTTTTAAAAAAGCAATTTTAGATCAGTTTTGGTGCTGAAAAGTTATTATCCATAAGTTTTTCTAACCAAGTAAATTAACTGAAATTTTATAAAATGGTCCATAGCCCTGAAGTTCATCCCTAACACCCTCAAAGCCTGCCTATCTCCAGACACTAATAATGCAATGCCTGAAAAGAACCAGAGTCTAAGAATCTTCATGTGAGCAAACGACACACACACAGCAGGCCAAAGATGGCCCACTCTAATAAATACAACTGGAGGTGACCCATCTTAAATCACAAAATCACAAATGACACTCTTTTCCTACTATTTTTAATAATTAGAACAATATAAAAATTTACAGCATTTCAGTACTATTTAAATGCAAGCAATGTTATGGCTATTTCTAGAATCATATACCTAAATCTGATACTCTAAATTTAGATTAATGTTTTTTTAAAAAATGCACAAGCTAGATATGGTGTGTTCCAAATGTCCTCCCCTATTTTTAGTGTACTTTTCAACTTTACCTTTGTTTATACTTCAAGGAAAGTTCCTTCCAATAAGCAGTTTCCTCCTTTAAACTTGAAAAATCTGGTATATCTTCACCATCCATGATCAAGAAAGCCTATGAAATATTAAAGACAAACTGTTGTAAAGTTAAAGAGAGAACATAAAAATCTAACCAAAAGTATAAAATCTGGGGCAACACAAAATCTGTAGCATCTTGGAGCTAAATATGAAATATTCTAGGAACAGTTAACTCATTAGTATTACTCAAGTACACGCCCCACTTCACTGCCCCACTCAGGGGGCAGTGATAAGGTCTTGATAGGAGATAAAATCAACAAAGTCCTTTGGCACAAAGCCAGTGAGGCACTTTCAATTGCAGCACTGGGTTCTAGGTTACTTGGCCCCATCCTGCACACAGAGTTCCAGCAGTTGGGTTATGGTCAACTAGTCTTCTGGGAATCAGGTAATAAAAGTAAGCACAATGTCAGAGACTCTGCTACTGCATGCCCTTCCCTGTTGTATAATTGCATCAAAACACCTGCTTTGGAGCATTTCATGCCAGGTGACACTGCCAGAAGATGGGTAATAATTTACTACTTCCAAATTTCTAAAACCTTCCTATTATATTCCCTCCCCTAATGCTGGAGATTGAACCCACGGCCTCACACTTGCTAGGCAAGTCCCCCTATTAATTATCTTTTAAGTCCAAAGCTTCTTCCAAAGTCCAGTCATCTCAATCTTCAATTATCATTTGTCTGGTTTTTCTCCCAAGACACTGGGGGAAGGGGGTAACCTATTTATTTAACCCTGCTGTTGGATCGGCTAAACACCCAATTCATAGTCAGGCCAGATGGAATGAATACCAAAAAATGTTAGGTCTACTCTAGATTCATGCCTAGGGTTTCCTACAGCCTCCTCCCTAAGCATTCCACTTTATATTTCAGTAATGCCATTCAAAATTGTCTTATCACACCATGCTATTTCAGGCGTGGATGTATTCTCTACCTGAAATGTTTCTCCATTCCTTGCATTTGGAAAGCTCCTATTTTTCCTTAAAATCTTTTCCAGACTTTCTTGCCCTCATCCAAAGAGCATTAAAATCTCCTGTACTCTTAGGTGCCTCTATCCCACACACATACTTTCAATGATAGCAATGTATTTGCTAACAGCTTTATGGCTCCTATTAGTCTGTGCATTGTCCTTATTTATTTCTGTCCCCGCACAATATCTGCACAATTTGAGAAAATGCTCAATAATATTTACTGAATTAAAACATAATTGATTCAACCTAACACATACTGGGCAGCAAGAACTCAAAACTAGCTTTAAAACTAAATTAATAAACCCCTGGAGACGTAGATAACTTGGAGTTCATTTAACAAAATCCACTTGTGAAGATATGGCAAGAACTCAGTCACAGATAAGAATATAGAACTCTAGGGACCAAGGTTGTAGCGCAGTGGTAGAGAGCACTTGCCTAGCACAATGTGAGGCACTGGGTTCAATCCTCAGTACCACATAAAAAAAAATAAACTAAATAAAGGTACTGTGTCCGTCTACAACTAAAAATCTCTTTAAAAAAAAAAAAAAGACAAATTGCAAAACGACCCAAATATTAAAAACAACAAAAAAGAACACAGAACTCCAACTTCAGGGTGAGTACACCAAAGAGGGATGCGTATGGTTTTTAATAGAACAGAAGTATAAAGTAACTTTATATGTTAAGTTTAATTCCTTTGAGGCCTATTGCAAATTTTTCTTTCTTAATCAAGTCTTGCCTGATCACACCATTTATTATTACCTTAACATCTGTTAGACAATCTCATAATTACCTTAAGTTACCAATTATCTTAAATCAGCTTGTAAGTGCTTTGAAAGAGATGGATCCTTAACACATCTTGTTTCCCTTTCAGGACACTAAGACTAGCACCCTGCTCAGAGAAAGCACTGAACACTTTCAAAAATTAACTGAATGCCTACTATAATCGTCAGATATTGTTAAGCACTGGATAAATACTTATTGACCAAACACACCCTCCTCTAATGTGATTATTTCTTTACTAGGACACATTTGTCTGAACTATTCCACTCTTGGAGGTGCCATTATAGCATGGCAGCCCTTTAAAATGTTAACCCCACAAGGCTGGAGTCCTGTTGAGTCTGGATTCTAACATTCCAATTCTGCCACTAATTTACTTAAACAGTTTGATCTCTTAGGCCTCAGTTTTTTCATCTAATGAGGATTTGGACTATACTAAACTGACTTATAATTATGTCACTATACACTGTATGTACACTGATTAGTAAATAATACTAATTTTATAATCCTGTCCCTTCATCAAAGTTCCAAATTCCCACTTCACCTTCTCAAATATAGAGGTAATCTTATTTGTAGTTAATTTGCAGTAAGATATGACTAAGGACAAGTTTCATCCAGAAGCAAGGACAAGGTTCATCCAGAAGCAAGAGGGAGCTACATTTCAAAAGACCCAAAGAACTCACAGCCATTGTCATGTGCTACCAATAACTCCTCAGAGTCATTGCCTAAGTCTCCTGAAAGGGAGGAACCCATTTTAACAATCCAAATGAAGACAATTATAGGACACAAGATCTTTCCCCTAAATGCCCTAAAAATTGTGATAACATTTTAAATCCAACCCTAAAGAAACTGATTATAGAATGGCAATTATCAAGAATACAAGCAACAATAAATGCTGGCAAGGATGTGGGAGAAAAGATACATTGCTGGTGGGCCTGCAAATTGGTGCAACTACTATGGAAAGTAGTATGGAGATTCCTCAGAAAACATGGAATGGAATTACCATTTGACCCAGTTATCCCACTTCTAGGTTTATACCCAAAAGAACTTAAAATCACCATACTACAGTGACACAGCCACATCAATGTTTATAGCAGCTCAATTCACAATAGCTAAACTATGGAACCAACCTAGGTGCCCTTCAACAGATGAATGGATAAAGAAATTGTGGTATGTATACACAATGGAATATCACTCAGCCTTAAAGAAGAATGATAGCATGGCATTTGCAGGTAAATGGATGGAAATGGAGAGAAATAAGCCAATCCCAAAGAACCAACAGTATCTCTGATATGCAGATGCTAATTCACAATAAGGGGGGGTTGGAGAATAGAGGTACTTTGGACTAGACAGAAGGGAGTAAAGGGAAGGGAGAGGGTACAGGGATAGGAATGACAGTAGAACGAATTGAACATTATGACCCTATGTACATATATAATTATACAACCTGTATAACTCTATATCACGTACAACCAGAAGAACGAGAAGTTATACTCCATTTATGTATGATGGTCAAAATGCATTCTACTTTCATGTATAACTAATTAGAACAAATTTTTTAAAAAGATGTGCCCAATTTAAAAAAAAAAAAAAAAGAAGAAGAAGAAGAAGAAGGAGCTGATTATAAGTTCATGGGCACTGGTTCCTGCATTTGGATATAAGTTACCATTTGAACTCTGGCAACTGAGTGTTAATGAGCAATTCAAATGTTCAGTTTCTGGTACACAATCCAATAAATCATGGTTTTGCAAAATGTTATGAAGACCAGGGATGACATAGGAAGCAATGTTCAACTACTATCAACTCTGCATTCCACAAGAAACAGTTGAAGAGAAATGAAAGGTTAAGTCTCTCTAGTTCCTTGATGGCAAAACCTGCCTTGTTTATAAATCCATCCACATCACCAGAAACATGGAACCCAGAAGAATCTCAATAAACATTACTTGAATTGACTTATAATCTCTCTTTCATTATTCCCTCTTTCCTTTAAAAGTATCACTTTCCTTTATTAACATCTGTATTCCTCTTTCAGGGACAGAGTAAGCAAAGACTTGTGGCTAGTTTATTTCTACCTCACAAAATGTACCACCATGTATTAACCCAAGAGTATAAAACCTATCATTCTCAGTTGTACAAAATTATCAGTCTGATGCATGCCAAGTTACAGTCAGTCACTTATGTAGGTAGCACATCAAAGAAGAAGGAGCTGATGGAACTTATCAGGGAAAATCTTAAGGAAATAACTGCATACCAGTGGCCTCAATTATCACCCAGCTTAGTAGTTTTAAATATAAATGGATAATAGAGAACCACCAAACAAATGGAAAAATACAGTAGCATGAACAAGTAAATCCTAGAACCTACTGAAACTGAGAGGAAAGAGAATTCAGGAAACAGAATTTTTTTCTGATAAAAGAACTCAGGAGGATTACCCCCCATATAAGTCCTGAGATGGGTGGGGGGTTTTATTTATTTTATTTATTATTTTAAAGGTTGGGGGAGAAAACCTGACCTGGTCAGCATAGAGTATAGTACACAGTGGCTCCAACCAGGACTGCAATGAAGAGAAGTCCCAGGATGAAAGCCTAGTCCATCAGGCCCAGAGAGCAGCTCAAATAGGATTGGCTCTGAGAAAAATAGAGAATCCCACAGAATAGACAGCATGCCTGAGAAACTGGATAAATCTGAGATTGTGATGAAGGCACATTACTCTGCCACCTATTAGAAAAAGAACAACTGAAAACCTGGTGGGGGTGGGGGGAATAACATAATGTGATCCTTGCTGGACACAGTGGCACATGCCTGCAATCCCAGTGGCTTGAGAGGCTGAGACAGGAGGATGGCAAATTCAAAGCCAGCCTCAGCAATGGCAAGGTGCTAAGCAACTCAGTTCATTGAGACCCTGTAACTTTATAGCCAATAACAACCTTTCCATTTTTTGGTCTTGAATTTGTGGTAAGTTTCTTACCTTGCTGTTTTAAGGCTCAACGTCTTGGCAAACAAGTTGCATTCTCTTTTTTATGCCATTTCTCATTTTTTAGACTTTGGTGATAATAATTCTTAGTGTTGGTCTTCTCAAAGTGAGTATTTCTTGTCTTTTTAGCCTATAATCATGCAGTAGTCACCTTAGTCCTTAAACATTCTCACTGTCATGCTTTAGATTATCCTTAGATCACATATAAACTGTACAGAGCTGAATGAATAGTGCTACTTCAGCATTCAACATTTTATTGGCTAGCAGGATAATTTTCTTTTGAATATTCAGTACTCTTTCTGTTATTATGCAGCACTTGACAATACTGCTGCTGACTGTGTGGCCCATGAACCAGTGTCCTTATGGAAGTTTCTCATGACTGTCAGATGCTACTTTGGTATCTAACATCTATTTGAATGTACTATATTTGAATGTGGAACCAATCATTCTACAAATAAGATCAGGATTGTTTTCGTCTATAAATGTTTTTCAAATACCCACTTCAAACATTTCAGTGGTGAGGGAGGGTTTTTTGGTTGTTTCTAACCCATGTACTGTATAGAAGAACCTACTGGCAGTTACTGCTTTGAAGAGGGCTTAGTTAACTACTGATCCCTGGAGGACAGCACTGTTTACACCTCTGGGTCCAGTGCTATGAAGTACCTATTTGTCTCTGGCTTTTGGTTCTTGAACAGAAACATATTCTTAACATAACTATCAACTTTTCTAACCTATGTTCCCTGATGACAAGTTTTAAATAGCCATTTGCTTGAAAGTTTTTGAGAATCTAGGTTTAGCTCTGACATCCCCTTCGTCCAACTACTTTGGTATATTAAATAATTCCAGCAAAGTTATTATATGCTTTTACTTCATACATGCTTAATTTTCTTGCTGAATCTTATGTGGGCTTAATGTTGACCCCAATTTTTTTTAATGAACAGGCTACTTTCATAACTTGCTTCTTGGCCCTTCAAACTGTATTATACCTTATGCCAGATATCTTACTACTAAAATAACCATCACCTTTTCTAGAACAAACCAATTAAAAATATTTAACCAATAATAAGTCATGGGAGCAGCATAGCACAGTGGTTAAGAGACAAAACCCTGAAGCCAAGCTGCCTGAGTTTGAAATCAGGCTCCTCTACTTACTAATTGGGTGACCTTAGGCTAGTTACCAACTACTCAGTGCCCCATTTCCTAACCTGTAAAATAGGGGTGGGTAATTAGTAAAATGACGTTGTTATGACAATTAAATGGGTTAACATTTGTAAAATACTTGGAATACAGCCTGGCACACAGTAAACAGCATAAAGACTCATTAAATTATAAAAAACTATAATTCAACAGTGGACCTTTGAAGTTTAACCACAAAGTAAACAGGCTTTTCAGAATTTAAAACATGCAAATGATTCCTTAATATTAATTATTTCAGGGAGCTATACTCATATTCCTGTGATACCATCACTGCTAAAAATATTTCTAAAACTTCTTTTGGAATAGGCTTTATGAGCCAGGTTAAGAACTAAGCAAAAAAGTTCCATGGTTGCATCTCTTTACTTACTGCTTTCCAATTAGTACAATTCAGCTTGACTCTAATTTTATCATCAGACTTACCCTTTTAAGTACCAGATTCTTTACAAAAAAAAAAAAAAAAATGCACTACCACTGCAGATATTCACAAGACTGTTTTCAGGGGCTTAAAAGACAGTGTGTTCCGTTTGCCTCAAGTTACATTGGGAGGATATGTTCACTGTCATCTGAAACTATGTAATTGGAGATATTAAGGGTACAGAAAGTTAGCCAATATCAAAAAAAAAAAAATTACTGGAACAGTACATCTATAATTTTTTGACATTGAAATGAAGGCAAATAATTGGGTATTCTTTGTTTCCCTTCCCTTAATACTGTGTCTTTCACGGGTAGGATAAGAAAATTATAACTTTTACATCGGGCATATCATACCCTATATGACCTTCAGATACCTAACAACTCACTTGGGTTTTAAACAGCCTATCTAAAATGCCTTGTTTACAAGAACACTACTCTTTGTATAATGGTAAAAAAATCTATTTTATATGATACTGTATTCTTGTTAACAACTGTTAAGAGTGAAGTGTTCTTTGGCAAACACACACCCCCACCCCCGTAGATAATACACACCGAGTTTTACTTCTCCCAAAGGTGACATTTACAGATTTTTTTTAATTTTTCAAAGCCAATCATTATAAGGTGTCTCTTTTGGTTGCATGAGAAGCAATTTTAAGCTTGAGTAATCAACTTTATCTTAGTATGGTTTAAAATGAAAATAAAAAGTTTTGTAGAGGTCATGAAAGTAAGAATTAAGTTTTAATTAAGGTTTCTACTTATTTCAAATGATCTTTTTTCCAACTTCAACCTAAGAAACAATAAGCTACAGGTTCAGAAGATTTAGCTCCTTCTGTCTGAATCAGGTCAATCTCTAACAACAAAACAAGGGTTTTTTTGTTTTTATTCTTGTTCTTTATGTGCTCCAATTTTAAGTAACAATACTTTTAATAATAGTTCTGAACAGATACCACTCATTTACTGTCCCTTTGTTTCTCTACTGTATGACTTAATGCTGCATTTTGCTCCATCAACTTCAGGATTTAGCAAAGTCATAACCCAATCCCTTTTTAAGTGCACTGAAAGCAACATAATTTATCAGACAAAATAACCAGCCACCCATGAATAAGCTTCAGAGTAAGATTTTCTTTTCTCATAACTGAATAATTTTTATTTTAGGTAATTCTGCTCAAAAATAGCTGAAAAAATCATTTTCTAGGTTTTGGTATATTTTTGACAAGTCAAGTTTTTCTGCCTTGCCTTCTAGCTGAGACGGGTCTAAAAAATCTCCCAAAAAGAAATCCAGAACCTGAACCCTAGAAATGTAAACTCTGATTCAAGCTACGTCTCTCACCAGTTGGCTAAACCCAAGTATAAATCACTTACTTGCCCCCCAACTGGGCTCAATTTCCCCATCCAGAAAATGAAAATAACAGCAACCGTCACAAGATCAGCGTTCAAAGCTGATAGCAACGTAGTGAAATGCGTGAAGGAACTATAGGAATGGAATCAAATAACCATCAGTGAAAGAACCTTCACTTTCTTGGCACTTAAAGGGTTACCGTCGCTTACTAGGAAAAAAAAAAAAAAAAAGGAAGAGAACACAAACAACCTGAACCGGTTGGTGACACTTCGCTGAACTCCGAGGGGGGTGATTAGCAGTTTGGGGCGGGGAGTCACCGGAATGCCAATCTGAGACCTACGTGGGCTGCTCCCGCTCTCGACCCCCGCAGGACAGAGGCGCTGAGAGATCAAAATTCAACCAGGCTCCCAACAACCACAACCTCACAGCAGAAAGAAATTTGGGCAGGGGAGGGCAAAGAGCGCTGCTGCCACCTCGACTGTGCCACCCTTGCGCCACCAGCGCCCTGGCCCACGGTGCCACGTCCCGGCCTCCGTCCCCACCCTAGGACGCGGGCACATCTTCTGGAAGCCACCGGATTCTCTCCCTTGCAGGCGCCCCTGGTGGGCCACACCTCGGACCAGGGCAGGGAGGGGACAGTTACAGCGGTTGGTACAGTTGCCCCACGGACTGGCCGCCCCAGAACCAAGCCCTGGCCCGGTCCGGCGGAGCCTCAGATACAGCTCCCGAGCCGGTCAGGCTCCCCAGGGGAAGGCCTCGGCGCCGCCTGCCTGGCTCCGGCCCCTCGGAGCAGCCCCGCACAGCAGACTCACCTCCAATATGTCAACAGCGCATGTTCGCCGCCGCTCGACCGACGTCTCTGCACCGCTGGCCTGGCCAGGCCCGCCCAGCCGCTCAGCTCCGCTCCCCTCGGCAGCCCTGAGCTCCACTCCACGCACCTCCGCGCCCAGCTCCTCCCCGACACGTCAGGGTCTGCCTGGGTGTCCGAGGCCATTCTGTGACGCACGGGGGCGGAGTTCGGAGCATGCGCAGGAGTATACAGGCGTGCTGGGCGGGGCTGTGGCAAGGCTGGCGTCAAAGGGGGCGACCCGATCCCAGCGCGCTGACGTCAAGTCGGCGGTTCCTGCTGCGCAGGCGCTTTCGCACCCTGTGAGTGGTGGGTTTTAGAGCGCTGCGGTTTCCAGAGACTGTGTTACTGGGGAAAATGGTCCCCTAGGGAACTGAGAGGGTAACAGGGCGGAGCAGGTTCTAGCTCAGAAAGGGAACACATAAAGATGAACAACTGCTCAAGAAGTGGAAGCTTAAAGGAAGAAAGCCGTTTAAAAACAACTTTAGGAACTTTTGCTGTACCATGTATAATGCAATTCAAATTTTAATGCTCTTAGGATTGGTTTTGTGGGATTTCTGGAATCAATAAAAACATGTAAAATACACCTCAAGGTGAGAGCAAGTTGAGCCTAGGAGGCCCAGTTATATAAGGGAGACGGACGTAAACAGAATCAATGTAAGAGGGATTATAAGAAGTATCCAAATCAGTGAAGATGAAAGAAAGGGTTAAAGAGGTTTGTGGGAAGGATAGCACCTTGAACTGGACTCTGAAGGATATAGGGCTGAAACAAGTGATAATAGTAACGCACTATTGTTGCACGGTTTGTATATACTAGCAATTGTGCTAAGCACTCAGTCAGCATTATTTAATCAACTCAATGACCCCATGAGATAGGTACCTTATTCCCATTTTACAAATGAGGAAACAGACTCAGCAAGATGAAGCTGCCCAAGGTCAACTAGAAAGAGGAGCATTCAAAACTCAAGTTCACCCAGACTGAATTTTTAAACTCCAGAAAATACTATTTTCCATTACTATACTGCCGAGGAAATATTAATAATACCATTTGCTGGGCTAGAGCTAAGTGCTTTACATACGTCACCGCTCTCAATCCTCAAAACAGGCTGCAGTTATTACCCTCATTTTAAATATTGTAAAATGAGACCCAGAATTTCTGAAGTTTAAACCCAGAAAGTTCTTATTCCCAAGGCCAGTGACCTAGGACATTTTGGAAGCTCACTCAGTTTCTGGGGCTCTGCTTCCCTAGCTGAAGTTCTGCTCTGGCTGATGAGATCACCAGGCAGGGAGGTGATTAATAAAGGCTTTCCTGCAGTCCTGGTGCCAAGGCAGAACAGTCCCACCCCAAGAGGAAAAAATAAAGGCTACAGCTTTTGTCCCTGCCTCCTGGCTGAGGTGGTAGGAAATGCACTGAGTCACCTAATGGCAGGTTAGGCCCCTCAGAAAATGTTGGTGTCATCTTGCAAGTCACTCCCACATAGCCTGGACCTAGAACGACCAGTGTTTATTAGGATGGATGTGTTGATACCATCTTAGTGAATGGGCATTGTGTGGCAAAGCTCTCAAGAGTCTTGCACTGATCTCCTTCCTCCAGGCTGGTTGATATTTTTCTGTGGCAAATGCACCCTGGGGCAGAAGATGGTAAATAACATTCAGAACCTTTGCCCCACCCCCTGCTTCCAATATGCCAAATCCAAGAAAATAAAGTACAAAGGAAGATGGAAGGCAGCCTCAAAAGGAAGAAGTTTAAAAATCAGCCTTGTGAAGGTGGTAAAGGTAAATGAGGGTTGTCCCACCCTTCTACCTTCACAAACCATTAAGAAGTGTTTGCTGAGGTCTTCCTAGCATTGAGCACAGTCCTGAGAACATGCACAATCATCTCACTACCTTTACAGCCACAGACTCTGAGATACAGGAATCAGAGACCAATGGAGACTGACCATGTCATAGGGAAGGTATGGGATACAAGACCAAACTTTAGCTAATGAGGATGCTGGACTGTGGCCACATCACATACTTATAAAAGGTGATACAGTGCACATGGATCTGCTATGAAAACTCTGAGGAGATGAGATGAATTTAACCTTCCATTGGATCACATGAATAAAACATCTCAAAATCAGGGCCTTGATTCAACCTAATCTATGTTTCCTTGGCCAGCATTTTTTGCTAAGTGTTAAGGGCATAGATAAAGCTGGGCAAGGGACCCTCAATGGCTAGCTGGTTGCCAACGTCTTCTCTATATGCCTACCAGATGTTCTACCCCCACCTCCATTTTTTATATGTCTAAATCCCAAACAGCATCCTTTGCTTCCATTGAAATTTCCAAAACAATTTTTATTTCTATCAATGGTGCTATTATTCTCTCAGTCACTGAGGCACAAAGTTCTCCTCAAATCGCCCTTAATTATCTACTCCCCCTTCCCCCCACCACCTTTCATCTCATGTGTTCACCAAGCCACAATGACTTCCCCTTCAAAAACTCTCTCAAATCCATTCATTTCCCAGTTCCTTCCTCCTGTATCTTCCTGAGTCTAAAGTCTCCTATTTATCCATACCTTCTTTCCCAAATTTTTCTCCAGGGAATTTTTTCTTGTTCCAGCCCAGGAAGCCACAGATAGCCATCAGAATAGTGTTTCTAAAATCCCGTGGTATGAAGAGCATCCCTAGGTCTAGAACTTCTTTTAGCATCTTAATTTTGTGATAAAGTACTACTTATATAGTCTGGCATTCAGGGTCCCCAAAGCAACTCAAACCCACTTTTGCAATCTACATTCTACAGCTCACCTATGTGGTTCTAACCAGAGATGGAAGGTTCCTTTCCTCTCTGGGCTTATGACAGGCCCAGAGTCAATATGACATTGACTCCCACTTCACCACGCACTATGGCTGCTCCCTGGGCTTGGCCAGTCACTTATCCTTCAGCCTTTTGAAGACTTACTCATATGCTAACTCTTCCAGAAAGGATTCCTGACCTTCCTATTCAAAACCACAAAGTGAGCACTCCTTCCTCTGAACCCAAGTGGAGACCTTCATACTTCACAGAAGACCTTTTGGACAAGGAGGTTTCTCCCCCAAGAAACCAAAACCCACTGAGTGCAGGTGTTAGAGTCTGTAAACAAGTCAAAAATAACACCTGGCATTTTGCCAGGGGAATGTTAGAGTTCGTAAACAAGTCTGGATGGTGCCTGGCAAAATGCCAGAGGGAGTGGTTTGAGAAGTAACAAAAGCAAGTCATTAAGTGTGGAGATTCTTTATTGGTTGACTGATGTATCTAGTTTATGCTAATTAGATAAGCTGTGTGGAATGTATAAATACTGCTCCTGTCCTGCAATAAACGGCTCCTACTCCTGCGGTATCAACGTACACAAGTTATTCGTCACCCCCGGGTTATTTTGCTGCAGCCAGCCGGCCTTCTACAGATGGTGGCCCGTTACGGGGAGCCCCGGGACACTCGGGGGTAAGTGACGAAAAAAAGCTGCCCGTCCATAGATAGGACGGGAGCAATCTGCTCGTCCCTAGGCAGATAGGGCGAGAGGAAAAATGACCATTTCGAGAAAATGGAAAAGATTGATACAGTATGTTTGTGTCTTGTTTTGTCTTAAAATGTTGTATTGTCTTTGTGATGAAAATATGGAAGGGGTGAGAAGTAAATTACTAAGGGAAGAAGGCACCCCAATGGAACCAAGAATAGTTAGGGCATGTGTTGATGGAAGCCCAGGAACTCTAGTCAGAAAGAAGAAAAAAGTTCAGAGGAGGAAGGATTATCAAGAAAGAAATTGCAAAAGGCTACTACTAAATACTTTTCGTTATCGGAGGGTGCGTGAAGCCGCATGGAGGCTGCCACGTATACAAGCCGGTCATGGCGCAGCAAGGGCTTTCCAAGCTGCGGCAGCCGGCTCTTCCCCGCCCCCCGCCAGGGGAGCGGGATGCCACTGTGAGAGCCCAAATCCAAACCTTACCCAGAGGCACAGTCTTGCAAGCTTTTGCTCCCTGTGCCCAGTAGTAGTTTGAGTCCAGGACACTCCCCAGGGCCATCTGGGGCTGCCCAGGCACTACAGCAGAAGATGCTACTGATGTCCCTGATGTTTGGTCATTTTCAATGCCAATAACTAAGCTACAATGGTTCTCCCACACCTGGAAGCTAATGAATAATAAGCACTATTAAGGCTTATTTCAAATGTAGAAAACCTTGAGATAATGTACTAAATTGTTCAGAAGGTTGTTTTCTTAGTGCCTGCCGGAATACTACAGGATTTTCTTTAGCCATCCGGAGTTCCTGCCTTTGTGCCAGTGAAGACGAAGGTGGAAGAATTTCCAGTGTTGCTGAGAACGGGACAAAACTTCGGCTGAGAACTGGATGAGACTTCGGATCAAGCTAGCTACCTGAAGAACTTACCTGGACTGTGATTTAAGCTAGCTGCCTGCAGAACTTACCGGACTGTGATTTACCTGAACTGTGAGTTAATCTATTTGAGACACTGCTTTACCTGGACTGAGACAACAAACTGTAATCTACAACAAATTGTAACTTGGTATCTTTGCTAATGGTGTCATTGCAGGTATAATTTTTCTAAAGGCTTCTTACATGGAGCCATCAAGTGGCTTGGTAATGTGGCATTTTGTATCCTCCCTTTCTGTTTGTAGCAGGTTATTTATGGTGTTTCTGTAAAAACCACTATGGTCGTTATTTAAATTAAACAAAAGGGGGAAATGTTAGAGTCTGTAAACAAGTCAAAAATAACACCTGGCATTTTGCCAGGGGAATGTTAGAGTTCGTAAACAAGTCTGGATGGTGCCTGGCAAAATGCCAGAGGGAGTGGTTTGAGAAGTAACAAAAGCAAGTCATTAAGTGTGGAGATTCTTTATTGGTTGACTGATGTATCTAGTTTATGCTAATTAGATAAGCTGTGTGGAATGTATAAATACTGCTCCTGTCCTGCAATAAACGGCTCCTACTCCTGCTGTATCAAGTACACAAGTTATTCGTCACCCCCCGGTTATTTTGCTGCAGCAAGCCGGACTGCGGCATGCAGGGAGTTGTTGATTGTCCTAATATCCCCTCAGCAAAAATAGGCCCTTTGCAAACATGCATTTAATATGCTCCAATGAAGCGAAAGAATGAATCAATGATTTGGTGGCTCAAACTTGAAA